GGACATCGCTGCGGCCGCCGCCGCTGCCGAGGGCGCCGAGCCCGCCGAGTCGACGCTGTACGTGTTCGAGGGCGACGAGAGCGCAACGTTCCTGCAGAAGGGCATCGACGCCGGCGTCCCGGTGGCGGAACGCACCGACGCCGACTTCGCCTCGCCGGTCCTGCGCGAGGCCTTCGATCTTGGTACGCACTCTCCGCCGTTTTGAGTACTGCTCCTTGTTGTTGACTCACACGTTGTGTCGTGTGTGTCGCGCTGCAGACAACCCGAAGCGGAAGCAGAACCGTCTGCCCGCGCTCTACGGGCGGATGACCAAGATCTGCGAGCGCGACATCCTCTACTGCGACGAGGGACGTCGCACGCCGCCCCAGCCGCCCAAGCCCGTGGAAAAGAAAAAGAAAAAGCAAAACAAGAAGAACGACAAGAAGAACAAGGGCAAGGACGGCGGCGGCGACGACGAAAAGAGAGAAGAAGAGACGCCGTCGGTGGTCGAAGAAGATCAAGATGATGAGGAAGAGGAAGAGGAGGCCATGTCCTGGAAGGAGGAAGAGATCAGAGAGCTGGAGTGGTTCAAGGAACGGGTCGCGGCCAACAGCGTGGCCCTCCGGAGCAAGGAGAAGCCCCGCACGCAGAAGATGCACATGATCCGCCAGCTCCTCCAGTCCTTCCAGTCCCGCGGTACGACGGCGCCCCCTCCCCCCCGCCCGCGCGCTAATGCTGTCATGCGCATCGTGCCGTGTTACTTACCGGTCGATGGACTGCGGTGGTGCTTGCAGGCCTCTCGCACCTGTCGACGGCGTACAACCTGAAGCAGAAGGGACTGCCCTACCTGCTGTCGCTCCCGTCGATGGAGGCGGTCGAGCAGACCTTCACCGTGGGCGACAAGGCGCGCATGTGGGTGAGCGCCAACGAGCAGTACTACCGCTGCGTGCGCCGCATGCGCCACCTGCGCGAGGCCAGCACCATGCCCTCCAAGGAACTCAACCAACGGTACCGCACCCGCACCGACACCCACCGCCAACGCGCGCTGACGTGTCTCATGACCACCATGGACTAACGTATGTGATGGGGCATTGCAGGGAGGTCCAGCGGATGTCGGGCTACGCCGAGCATCTGTTCCATTTGATCATCACGGAGCGCGAGGCCCTGGCACAGGCCACCTCGCATATCCGATCGCTCGGTGCTTTCAACAGCCTGCTCGCCACCATCCACGAGCGCAGCAAGTACCAGAGCGTCGCCGCTGCCGCTGATCCCATGCCCCCGCAGAAGGACGCCCTCCAATGGGCGCGCAAGCAAAAGGTGAGAATAAGTTGCCGCCAACTTCTGCTTTTGCTGCTGTTATTGACGTGGTGGTCATCTGCTCACTCTCTTTTTCATGACGTGATGTGATGTGCGCAGCGTATTGCAGCGCAGCTGACGATGACGCTGGCGCAAGCGGCGATCCTGTGCGACGCCCTCAAGTCGCCGCTGGGATCGGTCCAGCGGGTCAACAGGCAGCTCGAGCTCGCCCGCAAGGTCGAGACCGACCTGCTCCTCCAGTTCGCCTGGCACCCCGAGCCCCAGTCCCTCCTCGGCGCCGACGACGAGGTACATGCCTTGATATGTGTCTGGAATGTGCGTGCCGTGCATTCCTGACGCGTGTGCTCATTCCACACATACTCAAGGAAATCGACGAGGAGCAGAACAAGCACGTGCTGGTGAGCAGCGAGACGTGGGCCGTGGTGGTGGCCAACTACGTGCAGCTGCAGAACGTGGCCAACGTCACGGCCGAGACGCTGCTCGACGAGTCCTCCCTCTTCCCGGTGCCGCTGGCCCACTCCATCTGCGCCTTCCTGCGGGAGGTGGCCGAGGCCGCCTCGCAGTTCCGCCGTTGGCTGCGCGACACCCACCACCAGGCCAAGGGCGAGCTCAACGAGCCGGAGAGCGAGCACGAGAAGCGATTCGGCGCCGCGTTCAGCGAGAAGATGGAGGCCGCCATCAACTCGCTCCTCGTGGCCGTGCAGAACGTGCAGAAGGTCCAGAAGACCGCCGATCCCTTCGTCCAACGCAAGCAGAAGGCGGAGAACAACAACAAGAAGAGCGAAGACGACGACAAGAACGAAGAGAAGGACGAAAACGACAAGGAAAAGAAGAGCGAAGACGAGGAGGAGGAAGAAGAAGAGGAGGAGCGAAGGAAGTGCAACTTCCTGCAGTTCCACAACTACCTCAGGGACCTCAAGGAGGGCCTCAACATGAAGAACGTGCGCGACAACATCGAGGCCGTGATCGCCCTGGTCGCCGCCGAGTGCGCCGGCCGAGTCCAGTCCGCCGATGCCGATAGCGCCAGCGCCAGCAGCACGGACGCCTCGTTGGCGCTCTCCACCGCCGTTCAGAAGGACCGCGTGGCGCTCGCCCTCCTCGCCCAGTTCTACCCTCTCGTCGCCCAATACCACTCCCTCGTACGTTTTTACCTATTACTTAATTAATTAATTTATTATTGAAATACTTAACGTGGCTGCACAGGTGGACTGGTATGTGAGGCGTCTGCTGGGGTTCCACTCGTCGCTGGCCCGTACGCACCACCAGGTGTCGGGCCTGTTCCTCACGCTGCTCACGCGAGGCTACTGCAACCCGGAGGAGGAGGCCGAGGGCGGCGGCGGCGAGGGCGACATGAAGCTGCAGGACGACATCCAGGGCACGGGCATGGGCGACGGCACCGGCAAGAAGGACGTGTCGGACGAGATCGACAACGAGGACCAGCTCATGGGCACCAACAAGGAGGAGAAGGAGGAGAACAAGGAGCCCGCGCCCGAGAACGACGACGAGGAGAAGGGCTTCGAGATGCAGCAGGACTTTGACGGCGAGATCGAGGACATGCCGGACAAGGGCGACGAACAGGAGGAGGACGAAGACAAGGAAGAAGAGGACGAAGAGGAGGAGGAGATGGACCGGGAGATGGGCGAGATCGACAGCGAGGACGAGGAGGTGGTGGACGAGAAGATGTGGGGCAGCGAGGACGAGGAGGAGGACAACACGCGGCAGGACGGCAAGGAGAAGATCGACCGCGACAACACGGTCGACGCCGACCCCGAGGGCGAGGAGGAGATGGTGGCCAAGGAGGACAACGACGGCACCGACGACAAGGACGACGGCGACAAGGAGGACGACGACAAGAAGAAGAAAAAGAAGGAGGAGAAGGGCAAGGAGGACGATGAGGGCGAGAGGGGAGACGAGGAGGACGATGAAGAAGACGAAGAGGAGAAGGGCAAGAAGAAGGAGGAGCAGGAGCAGGAGGACGATGATGAGGGCGACGTGAACGACATGGAGGACATCTACGAGGACAAGGGCAAGGACGTGCGCCAGGAGGAGGAGTTCGAGCTGCCCGACGACCTCGAGCTCGACGGCAACGACAAGAAGGACCAGGAGGAGGAGGGCGGCATGGACGAGGAGGAAGAGGAGGAGGAGAAAGAAGAAGACAAGAAGAAGGACGACGACGACGATGTGATGGACATCGCCGACGACGACGATGAGATGAAGGAGGGCGAGGGCGAGGCCAAGGATGAGGAGGAGGGCACCAAGGAGGACGAGGAGGACAAGAAGCCCGACGAGGATCAGGAGAAGAAGGACGACAACGAGGGCGAAGAGCGTCAAGACGACGACGACGACGAAAAGGAGAAGGACGACAAAGAGAAGGAGCTGGACGCGGAGGGCGAGGACGAGAAGCAGGCGGGCATGGGCGGGCAGGAGGCGAAGGAGAACGAAGAGGAGGAGAAGAAGGAGGAAGAGGAGGAAGAGGAGGCGGAGAAGAGCAACGCGCAGGAGATCAACGCGGAGGACAAGGAGGAGGTGGCCAACACCGAGACCCAGCCGCAGGGCGTCATGCACGAGACCATCCGCAAGTCGGCCAACGTGCAGATGGAGGACCAGCAGGACCAGCCCCGCCCGCAGGACGACCTCAACCAGGCCGACGTACGCATCCTCCACGGCCAACGACACGACACGACACGACACGACACGACACGACACGACACGACCAACGACACGACACACGAGTGGAGTGAGCTGACACGGTGTGTTTGTTCGTTTGTTGTTCGTTTGTTGTACAGGAGAACGCGCAGGAGGCGATGTCGTCGGACATGGACGAGCGGTCGCAGCGGTGGATCAAGTCGATGAAGAACCCGCCGCAGCCCGAGCGCGAGGACAAGAAGAAGCAGGAGAAGAAGAAGCGCGAGCGGGTGGACCCCAATCCCTACCGCAGCGAGGGCGACGCCACCAAGGAGTGGAAGGAGCGCCTGCGCGTCATGGACAAGCTCACCGAAGAGGAGGAGAAGAAGGACGGCGAAGAAGACGACCAGATGGATCTCGACCACGATGAGGAGGAGGACAAGGAGGAGGCCGAGATGTACGAGTTCATGAAGGAGGACGACCGGGACAAGGAGGACGCGCAGACCCTGGCGCCGGCCGACGAGACGCAGGCCAAGTCGATCCCGCAGAAGGAGGACGACAAGAAGCAGAAGGACGGCGAGAACGGAGACGAGGAGGAAAAGAACGAAGACGAAGAGGAGGAGGAAAAGAACGAAGAGGAGGAGGAAGAGGAGAGGGAGAAGGGCGAAGGGGACGAGGAGAAGGAGAAGGAGCGGGAGCGGGTGAAGGAGATGCGCGCCCTGCGGATGGCCAAGGACCAGCGCCGCGGGAAGAACGGCGAGGAGGAGGAAACGCCGGAGGACGACGTCGAGGACCTCACCAAGGACGACGACGCCCAGGCCGACGCCGACGACGCCGACGCCGAGCGGCGCGACGATGGCAGCTCGCACCACAGCATGCCACAGCTCCTCGACGAAGAAGAAGAACAGCCAAAGAAGGCGGCCGAGGCGGAGGAGGTGGTGCTGCTGACGCCGGAGGCGATGGCAGCCAAGCGCGAGGAGCTGGACCGGGAGATGGCCGAGTGGCGGGAGAAGGGGGACATGGTCCACGCGGAGAAGCTGTGGCGGGGCTACGAGGCGCTGACGGCGCCGCTGGCGCAGGACCTGTGCGAGCAGCTGCGGCTCATCCTGGAGCCCACGCTGTGCACGCAGATGCGGGGCGACTACCGCACGGGCAAGCGGCTCAACATGAAGAAGGTGATCCCCTACATCGCGAGCCAGTTCAAGAAGGACAAGATCTGGATGCGCCGCACCAAGCCCAGCAAGCGCACCTACCAGGTCATGCTCGCCATCGACGACTCGCGCTCCATGTTCGAGAACCGCGCGGGCCACATGGCCTGCCAGGCCCTCACCCTCATGGCCAAGGCCCTCGCCCAGCTCGAGGTGGGCCAGCTCGCCATCCTCCGCTTCGGCGAGACCTCCGACGTGCTCCACCCGTTCGACACGCCCTTCACCGACCAGTCGGGCGTCGACATCATCTCCCACTTCACCTTCAAGCAGGAGAACACCAACGTCGTGCGCCTCATGGAGAGCGTCGTCTCCACCTTCGACCTCGAGCGACACTCCGCCGGCGGCGGCGGCCGCGACGGCGACCACATGCAGCTCCTCTTCGTCGTCTCCGACGGCCGCTTCGGCACGCGCGGCAAGGACGTCAAGCGCTGGATCCGCGAGGCCCTCAAGCGCAACGTGTTCATCGTCTTCATCATCACCGACGCCGCCCGCCCCAACGCCATCAACCTCGCCACCCAGCCCCACCCCAACGCCGAGGTCGACGACGACGAGGCCGAGGTCCGGGCCAAGCGCGCCAAGCGGGCGGCGGCCAGGGAGGCGGCTGGAGGCTCGCCAGCGGCGACGGCGGCGGTGCGGAACGACAGTTCCATTCTCGAGCTGCAGACCATCACCATCAACCGCGAGGGCAAGCCGGTGCGGTCGTCCTACATGGACACGTTCCCGTTCCCCAACTACATCGTGCTGCAGGACATCAACGCCCTCCCCTCGATCCTCGCCGACGCCCTCCGCCAGTGGTTCGAGCTCATCCAGCAAAAGTTCTCCGCGTGAGTTCATTGGCCTCCTCCCCAGAACCTCTTGAAGTCTCTCCTTCTGTACGTGGTGGAAGCTGTGTAAGAGAATATTCTGCAATACAACAACAGTCATTAATCCCAATTCGGTCCCTCTTGTCCACAAGCTCCTTCGTGAATTTATATAAATTAGTAAAGCGCCCCACGTTCCCGCCAATTCAATGAGTTACATTTCTGGACACGTCCTACGTGCAAAAGACAAAAGTAAGCAAGATGGAGAAGGATGAGATGGACTCGACTCCGTCCACAACAGGTACTCCTAAAGAGTATGGACGAGCTTACAAGCTGAATCTCTCAATTTTCCCTTTCGGCAGAGCCTCTCGCTCAATGGACAACAAGCGATGTGCAGCAATGGTTGAAAACGGTGTCGAAAGGCAGGTTTGCGTCTTGTGCTGTCCTATTCAAAGAGTGTGATGGCTCCACGTTGGCCAGCTGGACAATGAAAGACTTCATCCAACTTGAACCTCGCTACGGAAAGATGATCTTCCATCTTGTCGCGATCGAGATCTTGACTGAACCCCCAGAAGGTACACAAATGCCCCGTTTGTTTTGTTGTCTACCACCCTTACCTCCAAGCTTCCCTTGTAGTTGACATTACGACCCGGCTTGGCGAGCTCTCTGTGGAGAACTACGATGGCGATGTCATCGCCCAGTTCACGCC